TTAATTTGTAAGGTCCCTGGTATCAGCTTGACACTGATGGTCCTTGTAAGCGCATATATGGCTATATGCACTTCCATTACTGTGAGTTCCGTCAGATATCATTCTAGACAACTCATAGAATATTCTTTCGAGTTCTAAAGGTTCCGTCCACGTGACCTCTGGGTAAAGTATATAAAGGTGGAATAGAACTCCTGTAGAGTTCTAGAGACCAGTGATCAAATAGTAATACATAACGCCTATGTCCCGTGAAGTCCCTAACATTATTATATTTTTTTGTTTAAGTTTTGTTCCTCTAATCAGATTAATTCACCAAAAAGAGAGAAGTTTAAGACTAGGAGGCCTTATTACGGAAGAGTAGATTATCACCAAAAAAAAGAAAAAAATGAATATTTGCTAATACCGTATTCTCTCAGTATCAAGGATATTAAGATAGGCTTGTCAGTCTTATCGTCGCAGCAAACAGCCTTTATTACTCAGTGGCCTCTCCCCCAAGAGTGATAACCTCTGAAAGATCCAGTAGAGAATAAGATATGAAAATTATCTTAGAAATGTTCTCCCAATACTTTTTAAAGTAACCTTGCCCATTTCCTTGATTTGATCTACAAACCATGTGTTATGAATGCAAAGCTGTACACGACATCAATTTCCACATCATAATTTTTCTTCTAAGAAAAGGAATCAAATACCCGATAGAGAAGCAGCCTATTTTGGGAGCTGATGATTTCGGGATAAATACGTAAGCAGATGTTTGTCAAAAGGGAATTTCCAGGTAGTGATTGACGGAAGAGGTCAGATTACACCCTTCCTGCAAACCTCAGAAGTAGTTTAGGTCCCCGGAAATTGGCACGTCAAAAAAAAAATTGACGGAACGATCTCATAATCTTCATACGGCGTAATTTAAAAAACTTTCCAAACGGTTTAAGACCAAAATCTTGTTATACCTTATCAGAATGCTGAAAGCAGCTAAAAGACATATTAAGAACTCTATCTTTGCAACTTACTAATGATAGCATAAGGCTGAATACAACCGACTCGGATATTCCGATTCACATACTCTTATATTCAAAAAACATATGCACCTGAGCTAGCGTTCAACAATAAATGCGTCATTTCTTCAGGGAAATCACTAATACGCTAGCAAATGAAGAAGGAGTACAGGGAAGAATTCCGACTACTCAAAAGGCAAAATGCTCGGTGCAAGAGACAAGACCAAAATATGGCGGCAAAACGACACATTCTTGAAAACTAGCAAGAGTCAAAGCCATGTTTTACCCCTCCGCAGAAAACATGAAGCGTAAATTGAACGATTCTTTTCTGAGCAATGATACCTGAGCAAATTTGTGTCGAAAGGCTGAAAGTAATTCAAAACGTCAGAACCTCAGATGAAATAGGGCACCTTGTTTGTAGAGCTCTTCTTTACAAGAGATTCAACTTCCTGTTCCATTTATAAGGTAAGCCTCCAGAAAAGCAAACTGGTCAGCTTCATGGTTTCAGCTTGAGTGTATTAGTCTTTCTGACGGATCATTATTCAAAGGACAGCATGAAACACAATGTTTGAGGAGATATTTATGTCAGCTACAACAAATTAATTTAATATTCTTTATATTTATGGTACGCCTCAAGGGACTCCATCAATATGTTTACACATTTAAGCAGCTTTTATGATGTTCATCAGGTATGGGATTTTGACCACTATGCGTTTCCAATGCAATTTTTGAAGCATAAGATTGAAAATTTTCAAAGAATGCTTGTTCATCTCAATTTTTAAAGCTTTGTCTGGCTTCCCACATACTTGAGGTAAACTGCTTTTTCAAACTCCTTGAAGCCTTTGATGCAACTGCTATCCATGTAGGGCAAAATCTGACATCCCCAAAATCCAGCACATCCATTTTTTATATCCATCCAGAAGTATAAATTGCCAAGCCCTGCCCAGTACAAAGCACCAACTGGTCGTCCTGTCTCCACTTCTTTACCACTGTAGCCACATCCAGCCAAGCTATAGCCATTACTTTGGTCCGAAAATGGTATGGGGAAGTTTGTAGCTTGGCCTGCTGGAAGATGATTCTGCACCGCATATTCGACTGTTTTTTTAGTCAATATACGCGCCCCAGTATCGGGACTTATCCCGTGGTTGAGCCAAATCCTCATGAATTTCAAATAATCACCTACAGTGCCGAAACAGCCTTGACCACCCATATCAATTTCTGAAATAAGAGGAACAGAGAGTTTTTTTTCATACAACTTCAAGCTGCCTTTGGACTTATCATGTAAACATATCATATTCAGTGGCTCACTTACTTTAAAAGTGCAGCTTGTCATTGCAGCTCTTGAAAACACGTTTTCAATTAAGAATTCAGATAGCTTTTTGCCCGAAACTGCCTGGACGATAAGGCCAAGCCAGTCATAGCTGTGTCCATAAATCCAGTCAGACCCTGGCTCAAAAACAAGTGGCATATTTGAGGGACTGAACAATTGAAGCAGAGGAGAGAATAGCCGCTTTTTCGAAATGATCTTTAAATAGTCAACATTGGTAAAGGTGTACGCGAACCCAGAGGTGTGAAGCAAAAGGTGTCTTATGGTGATATCTGTATCGGGAAGCTTTGGTACAGATTTTAAATCTCCAGTTTTTGGATCAATCTGATCATTTTCAATAACACCAAAGCGACTGAGTACCGGGAGGTATCGTTTTGCTGGTACATCCAACTCAATTCGTCCCCGCTCCCATAGGATGAGTACTGCCATCGCAGTCATGGGTTTCGTGCAACTAAAAAAACACAAAATATCATCTGTTGAAGCCCTCGCACCTGTATTTATATTCTTGACTCCTTTTGCAGAAAGGAACTTCGTTTGGTTTCTGTCAGTGTATCCTGCTATAACCGCATTGATATCAGGCACATCAGCACCGTCTTTTGCAGTCACATACTTCGAGCATATATCCTCGAGCTTTAGCATTTCTTCAAATCCTGAGATCAAACACTCAGCAAATAGTTCTTTTTGTCGCAATGAAGAGCCTAGATTCTTGAAACTGGAGCCGAGAGTGCTTCTGAGTGTTTCCACGAAAAATATACAAGAGTCTTGATGTTGTTCACGCGGCTCGGAAATTTTGAATCACGTGTCCGAATGTGGGGTAAAAAGAGATTTAGTCACGTGACTGTAACTAACCCATATCATCGAGCATTCGGGCATTGTGCATGTAACCTGCAGAAGGATTCGGCCCTGTTCGTCATGCCCTACTCCTTCTCCCGAATAGTTACTTAAGTGGAGTTAGCTCCTTCAGTACGTGTAAGTTTACATTTAATTTGTATGTGGGAGGATCGTCGCTTTCAAAACAGAGTCAAAGTGATTTCGAATACGCAGCTCATACTTCGCAGTCGCTTGGCACTATCACGAACCCCAAAGTCCTTTCCAATAAAATCTTTCTTCTTTAGCTTTGGAAGTATTTAAAAGAACCAAGCAAAATAAATACCTAGCTCCACTCTTTACATATTTTGCTTTCACTCTTTACGCTTTTTGTTTTCACTCTTTCAGTTTTTTTCCTCACCTCGCCTCCCAGAATTCATATTCATCAATTCCTTAGTTAGGTTTGAGCAGTTCAATAGCAAAGCACTTCGTTCCAGCGAGCTATACTTCAAACAGCACACCGTTTCCATTTTTAAGAATACTCTTTTATGAATTGAGGCTGGTCTTTGAATAATCATGCCATCTGTGAAAAATTACAGCTTCTAAATCAAGGAGCTACGGTCCTGTATGTTGTATATATGTTGATTTATGTGGGCCCTGAACTCGGGCTTTAGCTCTGAAACTTGCTGATGCTAAAAACGCTATTGTGCACCAAAATTTTGCCTCGATGCGACTCAGCTCCCTTGAGATATGTACACCATTGAAATCTGTAATAACTGAGCAAGATTTTATTATGGCTCTAAGAGATTCTTAGAACTGCCTCACAGAATGATTTCCATAGTGAAGCCAGAAAGAATTTAGATCTAAAGGTTTTAAACAAGTGCCCAATTGAGGTACTTGCCTCCAGGACATATTACAAAAAAAGACAAGAATCAATGACTATTTACCTTTAGCCAAATCAGCTGCCTTCGTAATACATGTTTGTTTGCAAATTGTACAAGAGGTAATTCGTAAAAAGAAATAATTTGAGATCCATCACTCCCCGATAATCATTCTTCGAGCACAATGCATGCGCGCGACATGCTGTTGACGAAATTCTCGGATGCAAGTTTAAATTTAATGCACTATCTTATTTATCGGTAGAACACATTTGAAAGGATATTTTAATTCTTGGAGATTATTCCTTCACAATGAATAAGAAATTTAGGAACCAAAAAATATGGTAATGAACGAGTTTCATTTTTTCAAGGCATGAATAAACCTTGCGACATTTGCTGGAAACAGACGAACTACAATAATTCCCAATGATGTCACCTCGGATTTTGGTTTGTTTACCTTTCTGTAAATGATTTCTTAACTCTCATGATTTTATCCATGAGATTCTTTTCCATAATGGGTAATCATTTGAATACCTCAAAAGCATACTGGTAGTGAATTTCAGTCCTTAATAGGGGACATTGAACCTGTGATTAAGTTCTCGGCTGCCGCAACATATTTGCCCCTGTATTGGGGAACAAACGGGGATTGGGAAGAATCACATGAAGACTTAAATTGGTTAGATAGCTATAAAGCTGCGCTGAATATATTTATAGGGTTTTTGTATGTACGATTCTAATGCTCCAAGATACGCAAGTTTCCAGTCACGACAACGTTTTCCAATACGGAACCGTTTGGAATTTCGATAGAGTCATTGTCGTTGACAACAATGATTACCGTACCTTTCAAGGTCACATTTCTACCCAACTTCACGTTACCAGTGATGGTGAGATGGTCCAATTCCAAGATCCTAGGCATGTGGGGAAGTCTCTTTTGAAAATCATTAACTTTCTTAAAGTGTGAGCCTAATTTGATCAATGGATTAGAGAACCCGTCTCTTGTAGGATCCAATTTCAATGCACCGTGCTCGAGGTAAAACAAGTCAGACTTCACTAAGAGCAAGTCTGAACAAGTCTTGACTGGCAAGAATCTGGACCTAGGCACCACAACACCGTGAGCGCCTTGGAAATGCCTGATGGCAGCACCGACCGCTGTCTCTAACTGTACGACGTTGATGTCTGATGAGCCCTTTGAGATCGTCTTATTGTTGGGGATGATCTCAGACTCGATGCTATTACTCTCAACCAATCTCTTGACTGCCTTCAAGTTGATCCACAAGTTGTTGGTGTTGAAGTACTTGAACTTCTTGATACTCTTGAACTCCTCAACGTGCTCCTTGGGCACCTGTGCAATTTCCAATAATCTGACCTGGCCGTCATAATTGATCAAAGTACCACCCTTGACATCAGCTCTGGTCTTGTCGGTCAATTCCATGAGGTATTCAGCGCCAGTCTCAATCATGTGGTTCAACATGTTGGTGTCGACAGTGGCACCCAAGTTGTCTCCGTTAGACACGAACAAAATCTCTCTTCCCTGGGCCAAGAGCGCGTCCAACTGGCCAGAGGAAACTAAACTTTCAAACAAGTCACCATGTCCTGGAGGATACCACGTCTCCAAGTCGTCGTCAAAAGATTCCGGCACGGGCAACAAAGAGTCCTTGAAGATTCTGGGGTAGCGCGATTGGTTGAATGTTTGCACACGGATTCTGTGGCCCGAGTACTTCTTGATGATTTTGGCGGTATCTGCATCCGTGTTGAAGGAGTTCATCAACAAGAGTGGAACGTCCGTGTCGTACCTGCGGTTCAAATGCTCGATTTGCCTGACAGACAAGTCCAAGAAGGTGTTGCCGTCTCTCACCTCAATGACCGACTTGGGGCCCACGCAGCCCATGGATGTACCCAAACCACCGTTAAATTTCAATACAGCCAACTTGGCCAAGTTGCTGGTCTCTTTCTCGGGTGCCTCAGGCAAGTCTGCGTATTGAACGACCTCACTGGGGCTGGGAGACTTGATGCGGTCCCATTCCAATGTGGAACCAGACGCCTTGTCGGCGACGTATCTTCTGAACAACGCGAAAAAAGAGTCCATTTCGTTCTCGAACCGGCTTTGCTCGTCCTTGTTGCCCACAGTGTCGGCCAAATTGTTCAACGCGTTACGCATCAGCGACGCAGCCATGGTGGTGGCGGTGTTGTCAAAGGCCTATGATTTGTTAGTAGCTGAAGGTAGAATCACGTGAGAGGGGGGTGGACGATAATTCGACCAGAACATGCAGCAGGAGCGAATCAAAGGCTGCTTTTTTATCGCAGACGGATTTTCCAGCAGACCGCCTTGATAGAATTGAAAGGATAAAATGGCAGTCATTTTCGAAAACACCCCTTGACCCAATGTCAAAGCGTGAGCAAGTGCGAAAGCACACATGGCTTGAACCTAGGGAACATGGGCGGGGATTTGGTGAGATCTTGGCTCCATACACACAATTGCCACACAAGGCTAATAAATAGTGCTAGAAGGTTGGCAATGAATTTTTTGGTTACAAAAAGCAACATACATAGGAAGACTGGGTTTTGGTGTGTTTCTTCATTTTGATGCTATGGAAAGAAAGAAGCAAGAGTTCGGCGGGGAGGTGAGGCGGGCTTTATTTGTGAGGGCCGCGGGTCGCGGTTTAGGTACACACCCGTGCCCTCAACGTGCCCAAAAAAAAAAAAAATAAAAGATTAAATTAAGAAACGGATGATGAAATTGGCAAAACTTTCGGAGAAACAACAAAGCGGGGTGCAGAAGGTCGATCGTCTACCCTGATTTGTTTAACCTGGTGGCATGGAAAATTATACCGCCGGATCGATCTGTCAACATTACTGTGTCTATAAAAAGAACAATAAAACACCCTGAACTCTCGTTCCACATCGGCAAAAGTTACGGTTGTCTCATGCCTGAATGAATGTTCCATTGCCAGGAACTCCTGCATGACATGAATGGAGAGTCGTTGCGCGGTGGCCAATTTCTACAAGTGAGCTGTTCTGTATGGTGACCCGGAACCGCTCGCCTAGGACGCGATCTGACTTTAAGCATGAATGGCCTGATCCAGTAATTCTATTTTGCCAGGTATGATTACCAGCGCATATACATAGAAGGTATGATTTTTTTTCGAACCCATATATTGCTGTTGATATTCAGGCCAACTTTGCTGCTGTTTTTGAAGTTTAATTCTATTTGCCTCACTAGCAGGCGACCCGCAGAATTGGCTCTTTGGATTTTTCACTACGGGCTGAACGCTTGAAAAAAAAAAAACCGCGACAGCAATTTCGAAGCAATAAGGTATTTCGGAGAGGCAGAATCACAATTGGTCATAAGTTTATATATAGTATTGTTAGCATGTGGTAACTACATACACGCCTGTGCCTTAAAATATTAATTTGCTATCTTTATAGGGAAAGCAAAATTTACAATATATTAGAATTCCAGAGTAGGCAAAAAAAGTAATCATTTTCCTAAAAGAAAAAAGAGACCTCCGATACGGGGAGTCGAACCCCGGTCTGGACGGTGAGAGCGTCCTGTGCTAGCCGTTACACCATATCGGACTCGGTGATTTTAAAGTTTTGAAAGATTTATAAACAAATAGTACCGTCCGAGTCAATGAACACAAGAAGCAACAAGGGCTTTACAATGCGAATAGGGAGTTGTGTTGCAACTTTTAAAAGAAAAATATCTTCAAAAATCCCCTTTGGAAGACTATGGGCTCCTTGAGTCCGCTGCAACCATCTGAGTTGAAGCGACTACTACAGGAGACCTATCCTAGGAGTCGATGACGTAATATCCAATACGTAAACAGATACGTGCCATGAGGACTGTCCAGGACGTGACTCACGAAAGGGGACGGGCCGAGGTCTGACACTTGTTTGAAGGTTTTTTATATATAATATTGATATAGGTTTGCTCCTTTAATCAGATGAATCCAACAAGAAAAAATACCTCCTGGTCCCTAAGCAAATAAGCCCTGCAAACGACTTTAACAAACCAACTAAGGTTTCTGGAATTTCAAAGGAAGTCTTAAAAGAAGCTAGCATCTCCCTTGAGTGCATTGGAGCTTGAAAGCCGACCTTTCGTCACCAGAAATGCGTAATCTCTTTCTCATTGTAGATGTGGGTTAGCTTCTGATAGCTATAACAGCATTTCAAGCACAACTTGCATTCGAATATTGACGCCACATCTTCATTATCATGAATGTGAATATAGGAGCGGTGATTGAATAGATGGATGGATGTGAGATCTTATTGTACCAACCACTCTTGTTTGTATGATACTTTCCAAAATTTTCGCCAGCGATTGATCGCCCTCACTTCAGTAAAAGTTTTTTTTTTTTTAAAAAAAAAACATTTTTTTGGTAGATTCATCTGATTAAAGGGGCAAAACTATATAACGAATATATATAAAAAACGTTAGTCATAATAAAGAATGTAACTGGAGGGCCTCGGGCAAATTAAAGCAACTTTATTTTTTTTTGTGGCATAATTGAAATGAAAATAAAGCTATTTAGTTTCTTCATTCAGATATAACTTGTTAAATGATAAAAGGTAAGGAGCATTTTAGTTCATGAGAGGCTCTGTGGCCGAGCGGTCTAAGGCGGCAGACTCAAGTTCTGTTATCGTAAGATGCGCGTGTTCGAATCACGCCGGAGTCATTATTTTTACTTTTAAAAATCATTTGTTCTGAACCTGAGCCTTCTTCATACTTGCGCAAGATCTGATGAATTGTTTTTGTAGGTGCGTTGCTGGCTTTTTACAGGTCTCTATATATATTTATCATACACATTCGTCTCTTCAAACAAATGAAGTAAAGGGTGCGCCGCTAGAAGTTCATAAATCACGATGCCGCTGCATATTGAGACTGAAGATTGCCAAATGAAAGTCTATCAACAATCCTCAGGTATAGAATCGATGTCACTTTTCTCTTAAAATGAATACTTTTGATTTTTTGGAAAAAAGAAGTGAGGGGGGAGGGGGGAAATATTGTTTTACGAACTATTCGGCATCTCTACGTTTGCATTAAAAGAGCATTCTAAGATGGTGGCACAAGTGCAAATGAATGGAAAAACTGATCATATGAATCAGTCAAAAAAAAAAAAAATAGAGATGCAGGCCCACATGATTCTTCGAAAAACATACATTGTGATATTTAAAATGCATTCTAACATGAGAAAGACTCAGTGTCCTCATCTTCCGAAAAGTATGTGAGCTTTGACTGATAACGTGATGAAGTGATTTCTTATGCCAGAGTTTCAAAAAGGCCAAAGTATAGTCCAGGCATGAACACTGGTGACTAAATTGAGGAGCAAAAAATCAGATGAAAGTGTAATGAAGCATATACAATCATGCGAAGATTTTCGCTGAAAGATAATGGCATGCGTTTGAGTCATATGAGGTTTCACAACAAGGGATGTGAAACATTCAAAGGCCTTTGTAACCTGAAATATGGAACAATTCATATTCAATCGCCATTGGTCGTGACTTTATTTTCGATACTGAGAGCCTATCATTTCCATTAAAACCTGAGTGAAAAGAACTTTTGAAAAATGGGTACGAAAAACGAATGTTAAAGTGTCAAGGTAGTGAAGTGATCTCTTATTGGTTTTTGAACTCAGTAATAAGTACATCAGGTACTGCCGAAGAAGAAACGTTTTAAGACAAAAAGTAGCTGTTTGGTTTCCCCTAATATGATCTATCGATTCAAGGAAATTTATTGAGCCACAATGCACGATTATGACCTTGAAAGAAATGACGAACCAATGACTTGTAGTTGAAATTGTTAAAAAATCCAAAAAATTTCCAACAAGATCAACAACTTCAAGCTGCTGAACACTCCTCCTGTGATATCAACATTTGAGCCTCCAAGCCTTTATGTTATAGGTCGTCTCCTGAAGTTTGTTTAAAAAACTTAGAGTCCTAGTGAACTCTATTTGATTAAGGAAACAAAATTAGAATACATTGAAGCTTGGAATGACTCAAAAAACATGCCTTGTGTCCGAATATGGGCAGTGAAGTACAGAATAGATTCAATGAATATTTGAAGTCAAATAAAATTTTCAGATTTTTTCAATTTTGTTAGCAAAAAACATATTTGAATCGGATTTTGCTGTAATGAGTAAAAGAACGTGAAGCTGCATACACCATCATAATTTAGGGGCAGAAAGAAAAACTTGGATTCATAGCGTTGCAAACTCAGAAAGAAAAAGACTCAGGTCCCTATGATATGTAAGAAATGAACTTCCGAACGACTTACACACGAAATGAATTCAAGCTCTTGAAATGTTTTCAATATTAGCTGTGCTCGCCTCACCTAACTTAATGAGGCTTTATTTCAGGACCAACAAAGCTTGAAGGAAAATCAAAATAATTTCTCTTTACCTCAAGAGTATTCTCCTTTTGAGCACACATAAGGATCGTTAAGTATATTATTTTAGTGAACATAATTCACACTTATTTCACCTTGTCATAGTTTTTCCAAGGTTGGTTCAGTAGTATGAACGACCTGTACATAATATTCGGAGATATGCTGAAGCAAAGTTTTTGTTTTTTTGAAAGAACAGAGTTTTAAGCTCACTAAAAGTCACCAGTAGCAAATACACGTTGATTTCATCAGGTTGCCAATCTTTTAATCAGTCCTCTTACTGATTTGAATCCCAATTCAGAATTTTCTTCCTTTTGGGAGGAGAATGAAGTACTCGAATGAAAACGATAAGCCAGGCCTTAATCCACCCTTTAGATATGACGATCATATTTCTGTGTAGTTGTATATAATGACAAAATTAATTCAACACACATCAAGTTACAGTGGCCGAGTGGTTAAGGCGACACCCTGCTATCAAGCGGTTCAGGTGTTGGGCATTGCCTGCGCAGGTTCGAATCCTGTCTGTGACGATTGTTTTTGTATATTATGGAACTTTTTTCAGCTTTTAAGCGGAACCGCAGACTCGAGTTTAAGACATTTGTAATGTGACGGGTTGCTCAGGCTTTTTTATGTATTTCGCTAGCGTTCATTTGCATAACATGCGTCACTATTCCGTGCTAAGCAAACGCGCTATTTTATAAGTTGTACCCTGGCTCCGGATCCAGGAGCCACATGTTCAAATACTTGAGAAACCTCTCTATATCTTTTTTCTTGTGTTTGTAAACAAGACCTCGGTTACCTTCGCTAACACTGCCAACGACATCGTAAGAGCACCAGTAATCGTTGACTGTGCCAAAGTCACTCACGTGCTTGACCGGCAAAAATGGCTGGCCCTCTTTATTGATAAGCGGTTTTTCGACAGGAATGGGCTGGAGTACATCTCGTATGTACATGATGTTTTTACTCACAGTTTGCTGGGCCAAGGAATCATCGCTCTCAACTTCTCCAAATCCGATGACATTTGTAGTAGTGAGTTTTTCTTGTACAGCTGCTACAAACTGTGGTATTTTTCGGTTCTCGAGCTGGTGTGAGGTCACATAGAGCAAACTTTCATTATCGCCAGAAATCTGAGACCAAGAGCTCGAGCAGAGTTCTTCAGCATACGACTCAGCAGGGCGATTTTCAATTGGAGTGAGAACGCCAGGCGCAGAAGCATAGAATCTGTTGAAATGTACATAATCACAAGTGCCTGCCAATTCCTGACCCAACCAAAGAAGCTCCGGGTTGAAGCGATTGGAGATGTCGTACTTGGGCTTAAGAATCGAGTGAAATGGAAACACACTGCTTAGAAAAAGACCCAGTAAGGACTTTTGTTTGTTGAAGACCGCCATAGACGGGTCCAATAGACGTTGGAACCCATATTCGGTGACACGGTTCGTGTGTGTCTTGATTGGCGACTTGAAACCAAAAATTAGAGATTCTTTAGGATCCACAGCTGCGAATTTGTTCACTAGCTCGTTGACTTCAAAGAAGCCTGGAGGGAATGGATTCGGTTTGGAATCAAGCAGAGGGCGATCTTTGAAAAACAACATTCCCTGACTCTGAAATTTTTTGCTGTCAAAAAGTGAGGTTAAGTTTGTTGTCATGGGGATTGTCTGTGGGAGTAGAACCACAAGATTCTCAAAATCGCTGAATATCACTGCGAGAGAATATATAAGATTGTCGGTGACGACGACGCCTTCTCCAATAAACTGATTCACATTAAGGAAGGTTATCGTCTGTTTGGCGTAAACTATGTTGAGATCCACTGTATTTTCATCCGTTAGATATCCGTTTATGTCGGACTCTGCTGCCTTTGTAAGCAAGTCAAGCCTTTCCTGTGATATAGTTTTACTACCCGCGAAAGCAATCTGAATTGGTAGCTTGTTTCCCTGGACTCGAAGCACTCGGATCAACCTTGCCACTCGGTTGATTTGCGTGCTTATTTTTGAGTCACTAAGAATGGTTATTAGAATCCCATTGCCATTTGCCTTGGTGACGAGAAGCTCTTCAAAAATTCGATCATCGCTTTTGAGCCACGGAAAGAGGTACTGAATCACGGCTTTTGACTTTTTGCTTCTGAATTCAGGTGGAGCTGAGATTGTGGAAATATACTTCCCAAAGATTCTGAGATTACGCACGTGGTCAACAAAATACTGTTCGAGCAGGCTGACCAACATTGACTCCTTTCGGAATTCATGAAGTAATCTTTCTGTATGACCATCGTTGATTCTTAACCCTTGATCGTGGAGAGTTCTCCTGAGTTTTTTTTTCGCTTGAATTATCCACTTTGACTGCTTGTAAATTCGAGGCTCAGAATCGAAATTAGAACGTGGGCTCACAAGCTGAGATACTGGCGTATCCAAAAGCCTTTTCCAAAACTTGGCGCTATTTTTTGCCACGTCTGGATGCTCTTCTGGCCAGTTATGGAAAGCCGGAGCCCGAAAACTCCTGCGTGCTTTCACAATATCAAAATTTTCGGCTGCCTCGATGGAAGTATCTTTCGGAGAACTTCGAGAAGACTGTAGACCGAGTGCAATGCATAGCCCCAAGGCAATAAGAAGAGCCACCAATCGTAGCATCCGCCTATTTATGCCCGTTAAATTGAGCATCTTGTGTGTGTCCAAAAGTTAGAAAAAGTACATAGGATAGATGATTGTATTTCGATGCGAAAATCGTGGAGATGGAATCTGGCGGTGGCTAGGTCAGACTCTGAATATTATACATGAAGGTGCAAGACTTCGTATTTCCCGGTCCAAAAAAAAATTTCGCTGGTTTATCATTCATTTCAAATTAATGGGCTATTTAAAACGGGTGTCATATTTTTTTCCTTCCAGCACCACCTTTGCTGTACTCTACGCCTGATGTGCTCACATCACATGCGTCGTTCTAGGGACTGGCCCATATCACTCCAGGGATCGATGATATTCTAGACTCAAATTAAGATTATGCTTGTCCAGCAAGTTCGTCTTTTGGAGAAGCTAGTCTAGCTTTGTGAAAAAGCAAAATGGCAAATCTCCTTTGAACTAACAATTCAAGGCAGAGAATGCCCCTCATTCCTGATCACCATTCTTGGTGGGTGTCATTATCTCGTAGTCGAATCCAGGTGCCACTTTCCTCTGAACTTTTACAAGCCACTCTTTGTATACCGCAATATCTTTATCTCGCGCTTCCATGTTCAAATCATTTCTTTCTACGGCCTCTAAATCAGTAGTCCAAGCTTGTAGTTCTTCACGGGATATTGCTGCTTTTGGAGGCATGACACTTCCAGGAATGGTTGCTAATAATTTAGCGTAGTCAGTATTTAGCGTGATTGGTCTTGGAGGCTGGAAAGCTGGGTTCCGAATGAGCGGCACTTGTTGTAGCAAGGCATCAGCTAAAGGTCAGTAATGGGCTCTGGAGTTCGGGAAAGAGGAAAAAAGAAACTTCGTTGATATGGAAGAGGTCCCTAAAGAAATTTCTGACTGAGAGAAACGCCGGAAACTGACATACGTGTATCTGTCTCGTTCATGTGGAAGTAATAAGTGATGCGAACAATGAGTTGTTCGAACGGTGAGGTGCGAACCATTTTGGAGGATGCCGAAGCGTTGTAACAGTTACATCGTTAGCTGAGAAATATGACATGAGCACAAAAAAAAAAACGAACAAAGAATCAAACGTAAGAGAACGGGTTTGACCTTGGCAAGCTATGTGGGCAAACCGCTGGTATTAAAGCTGATTCACTTTGTCCGTTCTGCGGCTCAGTTTTCGTGGTCCGCTCTTGCAATCTCTTCAATAATCCTCTATCACATTACCGCTGTACCACGCCCTTACTACAGCCAAGCATTGCGTTCCGTAATCTGCTATTACTTTTATTCGTTTCTTATCTATAGTACAGACCCCGTCCATTAGTTGTCCTTGTAATGACGGATCAAAATGTATGCGTTTTCCTGTTTTAAGTTCGACAACGAGCGGTAGCCACCCTCCAAACGCATCAACAACCCACCAAAAGAGATGTATACGGCCATCTTGTCGTTTTCCGAGCTTTCTTCAAACTTGTATACTGTGCCGTACATTACATAATCGTAGTCATCTGCCAACGAGCGGTCGCCACGCTTAGGCGGTCTCCATGAGCCATTTGAGGTCATCATGGAAGACTCATTACCCAAAGAGGAGGCCAATGTGATTGTCAACGAATCGTTGTCTTTCACAGGGAACAACTCACTGTTGATGTCCAATGTGATCTTCACTTCTTGGGAAGTGGACGACTGGCCCTCGATACGGCTGACCTTATTGTACCGTGCCTGATCGACAGAGTCAATCACAAACATGTCTTCAAACAAGATACCCGACATTTTTGATGCGTTTTTGTGTGGAGTGAAGTTGATGGCTAGCCATCATCGAAAAATTGGATGCACGAAGCTCTGCCCCATTGAGAATGTCACGTGACCAGGGTCATCTGACCATGTGAGTTCAGGCATCAGCACGGATTCGCAAGGAGCATGCAGAGCTTGCCATCCACACGGTATGAATATATGATGTGATTTTCTGCATAATACAGCATGCATTGCAAAAGAATCAAATGTGGTGCCGGTAAACTTCATATAATACTGGTATGATGAAAATGAGTACTGACATGGCGTACTCGCGTTTTTCGGAACTGTGAGGGCCAGTGGCCAGGGTATTTCTTAGTAATTGGTTTTCGTCAGCACTAAAACTAAGGGCAGTATATTGGGAACCATGAAAATTGTAGTTCAGAAAAAAAAGTCTTCAATGAGTCTTTCAAGCAGCATTTTGACAGCGGGGGGCTCGTGAATCAATAGATGGAACGCGAGATCTTAACAACCTCGCAACAAATAATTCGGATTGCAAGGTGTAAGTTCAACAAAACACAAACAGACGGGCCCCTAATAATACGAGACAGCTGTCGCTAGTCGTTCTCAAATCGTTGGAGCCCTTTCTGCAGCTGTGTTTCGAATGATTTCAAAAACATGATTGCAAAAGTACTGTCGTACTCGTCCATTTACGAGAAAACTTTATTTATCATTCATTAATTCGGATTCTATTAGACGGTAGCATATCTCTAGATGATGTTCGGGAGGCTTATCAAAACCTAGACCAACTTGGTCAACAATTTTCCTCTTGGTTTATCTTCACTGAACAACTTGAACCACACTTCTGGAACCTTCTCGAGAGGGTTTTCGAATTTGGACACATCCTCGATGTGGACACCTTCTTCTACGGTGACTTTTCCGCTCTTGATGACGGCAACGATATCTTCGACAGCTTGGGGGAACTCAGAGAAGAAGTCGAAAACAATGAAACCTTGCACAGTCAAACGGTTGCTAATAATCTCGACCCATGCACTGACATCCATCTTGGATACATCGTTGTATCCAGAAATAGCACCACAGGCAATGATACGACCGTATCTCTTGGTACGCTTCAATGCGTAGTCCAACATATCACCGCCAACGTTGTCAAAGTAGACGTCGAAGTGCTCGTCACCGATAAAGTCATCAATTTTCTTCTTGTAGTCAGCGTCTCTGTAGTTGACACAGAGGTCAGCGCCCAAAGACTCAACCCATTTACACTTTTCGTCAGAACCGGCAATACCGACAACCTTGGATGCCTTGAAGAAGTGCTTCGCGAGCTGAACAACCATCGAGCCCGTGGCACCGGAAGCAGCAGAAACAAGCACGGTTTGGCCTTCCTTGAACTGGCCGACCTTTTGCAACCCGAAGTATGCGGTCAATCCAGTGAGACCGATAGCAGACAAGTACCATTCATAAGGAAGCGATTTGTCAACCTTGGCACTGACGCTAGCCTCAGGAATAATGATCTCGTCTCCCCAGTGGAAAACTCCGCTGATAACATCGCCCTTCACGTATTTGTCGGACTTGGACTCGAGAACTTCACCCAAACCTAATGTTCTGATGGCATCTCCCTTCAAGATGGGAGGCATGTATTGTCTCTTGGGGTCTTGGCCAGCGGAGATCCACAATCTCTGCGTAGGATCGTTTGAAAGATACAAAGCCTTGATTCTTAACTCGCCGTCCTTGACATCTGGGAGTTCTGTATCAACGATTTTGAAAGTGGAGTCGTTTTGGCCCCATGTCAAGTTGACTTCTTTAGTTGGAGGGGTTTCGAGGATGATTTTAGAGACCATTGCAGAGGAGGATATTTGGTTGGAGAAAAAGTTGTTTTATATTTTCTTAGAATGGATGACTTCACACATTGGAGGGAATTACTGGTCGATTTATATATGGGACCAGCGGAGAATGGTTTGCACCTGTGGAGGCGCCTTGCACCCAAAACACCTTGGCTGCTTACTAAAGGACGCACAGAATTCCAAAGGATTCCGCGGATGCGATTAGCAAGTTTTTTTGGGGAAAAAAGTTTCCCGCTTGATTTAATTTATTTTGATTTAAGGCTTTATGGCAGTGGAATAAGAGCTGTAGAGTTTCGCTGGCTCAGTGATTTGGATAATTCTCGATGAACATTCCCTTACCAGTTAGAGTGTCTTCCAACGTGCCTGCTCTGAATAGCATAGTGACGTCAGGTACAGGCCACATTGAAAAGGTCTCGCACGGAAATCTCTGGGTGCGAAAATTTAGCGGCTTTCGAAATTTTGAGAATCTCCTGGAAGCTCAAGATGAAGTCTTTAATCACTCAAGTATAAGTTAGATAGAATGTTTTCTATTGCTTGTGTAGCTTGAATCTTCTAGAAACGGAACTAGCTATAATTGCAATATTTGGATTGTCGGTGTGAAGTCATCAAACACGAGAGGAGGGGACAGACTCATGAGTCGCCTTATTTAGACAGTCCTCTAGCACGGCCATCTACGAACTCAAAATCAGTAAATTCAATACATCTTCTGTATGAATATGTCCAGGCAGGAATAACAGTACGGCTGATTCGAAAGTACATTTTAAAGACCAGTGAATCTACCATACATTGAAAGCCAGTAGTACATGCAGCGCATCCATCGTCACGCACTATATATGCTCAATTGGGCAGTCTTGTAAATATAGCGTCTAAAAATAAAAATGAGACAACGTCAAGAAATTCCCTTTCACCCAGCCCAATTCACACAACAAGACATCTGATGAAAGAGGCAACCCAAAAGGACGCAAGAAAGAGCTATGTGCCACTTGCCATCGCAATGGCTGTGATATTCGGCCTTTATCTTCTATTCTGCCATGGTACCATGGCCAGTCTCTTCAGAGTTCAATCTGATTCAGCCGACCTAGCCAGTGGCAATATTTACAGAAGAGACGACAGCGAAGAAACCAAAGAAAGCAAGTCACCTTTGGATCTTCTTGGGGTGCGTATAGTCATTGGTATCGGTGCGTTTGCCGTGATAAATGCTGTTGTGATCACGGTGCACCATATCCAGCAAAAGGTCTCAAGAGCAACAAGCACATACAAGGAAATTGATCATGTGTACTCGCCATTTTGAAGAGAGAAGACGTGAATACGCTGGCGATCAGTACCCCCAAATATGATAAAGTAGCGGAGTGAGCTCACCTTCCGACCGGCAACTTTTCGGTTCGAAATACAGAGACCAATTCGGCATTAAAAGAAGAGTGCCAAGGTCGATTGTTCTTCTTGGGAATTTTTGGACTGAGTTCCAGGCCATGACAAACATGACTCTGGGCTCTTTAGATCCAAGAGAATATTCTTGCAATTGGCGAACCCTTTTCAAGCACATCGCTATTATTGAATTCTTTCGAAAGTCAAATACATTACAAAGCACCTTAAGGTTGGGCCTGTTAAATCCGACTGTGTCATACAGTCTGTGGAAAAGCAGCTGTGGCCATACTTACAGAGCATGACCCAGAGATGTGATCTGGAAGTCTCGTCCACCTTTTGTGGTATTGGTAGTAATTTCCGTCCAGGTAAGTGATGGCGAAAGTAGTACATTAACCTACAATTCACATCCAAATTATCTTTGATTGGACGAGTCCTCTCAATCCAAAATTCATAAAAGGCTTACATCATTTGCCTTCGAAGAGGCTAAAAATGCGTCACCCAAGATTTTCATAAGAATCTGATATGATGGGGGCTCATTGTTTCGAAAACCCATGGATCGAAATCAACCAAATCTCTTAGATTGATCGTCTAGAAAAACAAGATTGTCTACAAGAATGGTGAAAATTTCCCAACGCTCCACAGGCAGAGTTGTGTGTGTTCCAATACATATGCAGCAGCATACTATCTTTTGATAATTGAGCAAGGATGTCCATTATGTGATAATCCACCCTCCCTTTTTTCTTGATGTAACTCTCGAACTTCGTGAATTGTGAGATCTGAACACTCAAGATTGAAGCGTGAATGAATGCAAGATTACCAGTAGAATTTCCAAAAGGGAAGCTATTCCTATGTGTCTTTGATCTCTTGTATTTAAGGCATAAAAAGATACTGACACTGTGTGAAATCTCGTGTTGTAATTTCTCATATATTTATTTATCCCCCATACCGTTCCGTTGTTCTTTTCTTCCTCCTGTCGCCAACATAATTATATGTGGCATACTACAAGTTGTGAGCTAGCGCACACCGGAAAATGGGGCTTTTTTCAAAAAAGCGAGTATGCATGATCTCGAACATGAAAATTTGCACCTCAGTCGGATCGGGCCGGTCGCCGGCGGAGATGGACTTGAATACCAGATCACGTGCCCGAGAGAATAGGTCACAGCCGTTCAGAAGGTGTCCCATCTCTCGATGTTCGCCGAACAGCTGTCAGAATTGTAGTCATCGCCTAAACGGACCTACAGTATTCGAAATCTCGAGTAAAATAACTGATAGAAATGCTATATTTTCGGTTAGTGGTGCTCAAAGCGATATCTCTTATCGCGAACCCCGGACTTTTCAGTCGCGTCGGGATATTCCGACATCCTGCAATGAGAACATCATTTAAAGTTCTTCACTATATAGCAACTGGTGGAGCCTGCTTTTTTTTCAAATCGCTATTTTCTTTTTTTCCCCCACATTACTCTCGGTGATTAAAAATATTCCAGTCATCGAATACCCGTGCAATGACTGAAGTTTCTCGAGGCCGCAAGGTGGCCCAAGTCTCTTGTCTGATTGTTTGGTGCTTGCTAGCAGCAGGTCCTGTTTTTGGTTTTGCTGCCCTTAAGCCCGTGCTCATCAATGAAGGCGTGTATCTGGATAAGTGCAATCTTGAAGCAACGAAGGGCTTTTCTGAGCAACTGCTTGGCAAGGTTTTGCCATGTGACGAGCAGGATTTGGCTCTCAATTTCTTGTTCACGGTAGCTTGCATGGTGACCAATATCTCGGCTTTGCCTGTCGGCTCGCTCTTGGACTCGTACGGGCCGAAGGTTACTGGTGTTCTTGGATCCTTGATCATTTTTTTGGGTGCCGCCGTGCTTTCTTTGGCCAAATCCATCTCGCTTTTCGATGGATACTTGTGTGGTTACACGTTGCTCGCCTTGGGAGGCCCTTTTGTGTTTATTTCGTGCTTCCAATTGGCCAACAGTTTCCCCAAGAACTCTGGGCTAATTTTGGCGCTCTTGACTGGTGCATTTGACTCATCCTCCGCGCTATTTCTCATCTACAGACTCATCTATGCCAACTGGTTCCAGCTCTCGATGCTGACTTTCTTCTTCTACTACTTGGCCGTACCGATATTCATTTTCTTGTGCCAACTCATAATCATGCCGGCAGACTCATACAAAACTGTGGGTACGTTGGCCCGCATTGCCGAAACTGCAATCGACGAGACAGGCAAACCTCTCAACAAGGACTTGCTCCTTCCAGTGGACAGAGATCTGCCGGAGGAGGCAGTTGTTTTTGCTCAACCAAACATGTCTGAGACCACATCTTTGCTAATGAAAAGAGCGTCGTTTGGATCGTTTAACAGGAGAGGCTCAGAAAGACTCGACTCGTTCACCCGACTTGAAGCCAGCAGACGTGACTCTACGATCTCGAGAAACTCAGTGAAATCCGTGTACGAGCGTGAGGCCGAAGACAAATTGTTCGAGTCCACGGGCGGTGTTTTTGGTGTCATGCACGGATTTTCTGTCATGGACCAATTGAAATCGCCGTGGTTCATATTGATGACCGTGTTCACCACCATCCAGATGCTCCGAATCAATTTTTTTGTGGCCACAATCCGGTCCCAAGAATCATACTTATACGGTAGCGAGGAGACAGCGATTGTTATCAACGAGTTTTTCGATCTAGCCTTGCCACTTGGGGGACTCTGTGCCATCCCGTTTATTGGTCTTTTGCTTGACAACTTGACGACGCTTCACGTGTTATGGCTCTTGTCGATAATCTCCATTGTTGTTGGTGTGTGCGGCTGTTTATCATGGATTCCTGCGACATACTTGGGGATTATTTTGATGGTGCTATATAGACCGTTTTACTACACGGCAGTGTCTGATTTTTGTGCCAAGGTGTTTGGCTTCGAGACATTTGGCACTATTTATGGCACGATCATTTGTTTTTCGGGAATCTGCAATATTCTCCAGCAGGTCATGGACAGAATCACCCATACGACTTTCCGCCTGAACCCAATTCCGATCAATGCTTTATTGACATCGCTCACTGTGCTCTTTGCCGGATTGATCATCAGCTACGTCATGTCTCAAGAGAAAATCATGAAAAGGCAGAACCTAGAGTTGGAAGCCCAAGAAGCACCAGTCAGAACGATTCCACATTAGACCCAACAGTAATTCGTATTCGGAAAAAATTGAACAATGAACCCTGGAATAACTAAATTTACATATATGCTGTGAAAATAAACAATCCAATATAAATTAACATCTTAAGAGTACAAAGTAAGCCGCAAACTGCTTCTCCTTGCATTATTTAAAGTCTTTTCTTCAGCCTCTCCCGTTTAAACTCTTCGACCACCAAATCTGGGTCAAGAGCCGTGAGTTCAGGAAGCATCACCACGGGCTCTAAATGCTCGGGCTCTAAATGCTCGACCTCTCGATCCAAGTTTGTCTGCGTCGCGCTAACCATATTTTCGCTTTGAGTCATCAAATAAGGATCACAAGTGACCAGCTTGCTTATTTCTCCCGACAGCAAGGTTTTTTGAGGAATCCCCAGGAGAATATCGTGACTGGAAATCATAATCGCAAGTCTAAAGATTACTGGTGCAAAACTCACTTTTTTCCTGCAGCTTCTTTGGCAGCCTTTTTCTTTGCTTCCTTTTGTTCACGTTCAATCTGTCTTCTTGAGCCCTTGATGATTTCCAAGTGGCCGACTCTACTGGAGATCAATTTTTCTGTTCCGTTCAGAGAGCCCACAGACTTTCTGAGGTTATAAGCCTGCTTTGCGACTGCTTTCTTTGGCTTGATGATGACTGGCGCAGCAGCTCTCAAGTTGCTCTGTCTCTTTGTGACTCTGCCTTTGCCTTTCGACTTCAATTTAAGATTTCCTTGAGCCATTTGAGTAGATAAGATATGAGATGAGATGGGATGAGTCTGATAGTATATGGGAAATGCTAGATGCGGGATGCACTGGGGTCATGTATGCATCAATGTACAGGTCCAGAAATATCTGATCGGTATTAATTGTGTGAATGGGTTAGATCGATTATCGAAGATAAGATGATTCTGATCATGTTCCGAGTATTATGTCATCTAGTCCATGCCATATGTGTCTGTTGGCAATTGATAGCGGTATGTCCACAGTATTGCTGAAACGTGTGAGCTATATTGGGAGTTTGGCGGGGAAGCAAAATTGTTTGCAGTTTATATAAATTAAATCATGACTCGTATATGATTCGGGTGTTGTCGTGTTCTTGAATAAACTTGAAACTTACTGCCTTTTGTGTTGCGCCTAATCGTCAAGATATGCTGCCCGTGAGGTGGAATAATAAGTAGAATTGAGGGCGAGAGTCAGAGGCGTGCGGATACACTCCGAGCAGCCAGCCCCAAGCATTGACATTTCAGTCGACACGAAGAGTAAATGAAGCTGGTCGTGTCCAATTAATGTTCTTCAAGTATTCAAGTACATCAGAATATCCAAAATCTTATCCACTGCAACTCAAGTATATCTGTAGTCTGTCGCATACTCACCTTGAGCACCGGGCGAGGTTGTAGAACATAACCAAGACTCACACTATGCAAATAACTTGTAATCAGCTAACCACACAGAGTATCGATGTTCTGCAAGTGACTGGAGAACGAAGCCTCACCTGTAAACGGCGTGCCTCACAGGTCTATGAGCCCCGAATATCTACGGTGACTCAGTCCGAACCGCACGGCCTGCATATTTGCCTGACTCGGCCTTCGCTAATTAATTTCCTCATCTCGAGACTCCAGAGTTCTCCAGCTCTTAGAACATTGTTGTTTCCTGGCTCTAACTAAGCGCACAGTTCTCTTCACAGAACAAACATATCTCTAGTAAAGAATCAAAGCTTGTGCTTTTCTGGATCTTTGCTATTGCTTTGTTTGAAACGACTTCCCACTGAACTTTTGTCGAGATGAGTGACAACTTTCTCGTTTTGCCGGGCCCTGCGGCCTTATCTCCTTTCAGAATCAACTATTTGATCCAGGACTTGGAGAGAAAATTCGACTGCCAGGGTGCCATTGTCAACGTGGCCTCTTCATACACGCACTATGTGTCCTTGAAGCAGACACTCTCGGACTCGCAGAAGAAATTGTTGGAGATTTTGCTCACGTACGATCAAGCCGTCGACACCTCCGTGGAAACCAATAAAACGCTCCAGGACTTGTCCGCAGTGACTGGAGAGGCCGTGGAAGACGCTCGTTTTGCCACTTTGACTGACTCCAACTCGTTGTTGGTCAGAGTTTTGCCCAGATCCGGCACGATTTCCCCATGGTCCTCAAAGGCCACTGACATTGCCAACATCTGCGGGTTGGGCGACTTTGTCGAGCGTATCGAGCGCGGATTGACGTTGTTGATTACCGCCAAAGAGGGTACATCGCTCGTAGATACGTTGCGCGCGGACGCTGCGGGCCTGTTGAACATTGTGTTTGACCGGATGACGCAAGTATTGTTCCTCAATGAGCAAGTGCCACAGTACACGGACTTGTTTTCGCACCACCTGCCTAAGCCATTGGTGGAGGTGGACATCTCCGGCGACAAGTTAGTACAGGCCAACAAGGACTTGGGCTTGGCTTTGGACCAGGGCGAGATCGACTACTTGATTCACGCATTCAACACTGTGATTGGGCGCAAGCCCACTGACGTAGAGTTGTTTATGTTTGCGCAGGTGAATTCCGAGCACTGCAGGCACAAGATCTTCAATGCGGACTGGACCATCGACGGTGTCAAGAAAGACTTGTCTTTGTTCCAGATGATCCGCAACACGCACAAGAAAAACCCACAGTACACGGTTTCCGCGTACTCCGACAATGCGGCTGTCTTCGAGGGCCCCATGGGCTATGTGTTCACGCCGGAGTTTAAGACGAAGGAGTGGCATGCGATCCGCGAGAACGTGTTCACGTTGGTCAAGGTCGAGACCCACAACCACCCTACGGCTGTGTCGCCATTCCCCGGCGCTGCCACCGGTTCTGGAGGTGAAATCCGTGACGAGGGTGCGGTCGGCCGCGGCTCGAAATCGAAGGCCGGACTCTCGGGCTTCTCCGTATCAGACTTGAACATCCCCACATTGCCTCAGCCCTGGGAGCGCGACGTGGGGAAGCCAGACCACATTGCAAGTGCCCTTGACATCATGCTCGAAGCCCCCATCGGCTCGGCTGCGTTCAACAACGAGTTTGGTAGACCGGCCATCAACGGGTACTTCCGTACGTTGACTACTGAGGTGCAGAATGCCCAGGGCGACAAGGAGGTGCGTGGTTTCCACAAGCCCATCATGTTAGCTGGAGGCATGGGTGCCATCCGCCCCGGCTTGGCGTTGAAAGACACGCGCATCACACCAGGCTCGCAACTTATTGTGCTTGGTGGCCAGTGTATGTTGATTGGTTTGGGCGGCGGTGCCGCGTCTTCTGTGTCCTCAGGCGAAGGCTCGGCTGAGTTGGACTTTGCCTCTGTGCAAAGAGGCAACCCGGAGATTCAGAGACGTGCGCAACAGGTCATCGACGCGTGTGTTTCGTTGGGCAAAGAGGGCAACCCAATTCAGTCCATCCACGATGTCGGTGCTGGCGGCTTGTCCAACGCGTTGCCCGAGTTGGTGCACGACAACGACTTGGGCGCCCGCTTCGAGCTCCGTTCCATTTTGTCCTTGGAGCCTGGCATGTCGCCCATGGAAATCTGGTGTAACGAGTCGCAAGAGCGGTACGTGATGGGTGTTGCGCCCGAGAACTTGGCCATGTTCAAAGCCATCTGTGAGCGCGAGCGTGCGCCCTTTGCCGTGGTCGGCGAGGCCACCGAGGAGAAGCGTTTGATCTTGTCTGACTCCTTGTTGAACTCCACACCCATTGACTTGGACATGTCCGTGTTGTTCGGCAAGCCACCCAAGATGTCCAAGACCGCCACCACGCAGCCCTTGCAGTTGCAGCCGTTCGCTACTGCTGACTTGGACGTGCAACAGGCCGCTGAGCGCGTGTTACAACTCCCCTCCGTGGGCTCTAAGAACTTCTTGATCACCATTGGTGATCGCTTCGTCACGGGCTTAGTGGACCGTGACCAGATGGTCGGGCCTTGGCAGGTGCCGGTGGCTGACGTGGGTGTGACCAACACAGCGTTGGGTGACACGATCTTGGCCACTGGGGAGGCCATGGCCATGGGTGAGAAGCCCACCTTGGCACTTATTTCTGCCGCCGCGTCCGCCAAGATGTGCGTAGCCGAGTCCTTGCTCAACGTGTTTGCTGCAGACATTCCTGCACTCGACACGGTCAAGTTGTCGGCCAACTGGATGTCTGCTGCAGCGCATGCTGGCGAGGGCGCCAAGTTGTACGAGGCCGTTCAGGCTATCGGTCTTGACTTGTGCCCAGACTTGGGCGTGGCCATTCCTGTGGGCAAGGACTCTATGTCCTTGAAGATGAAGTGGGGTGACAAGGAGGTCACGGCACCATTGTCCTTGTGCATCACGGCGTTTGCGCCGGTCTCTAACACATCCAACACATGGACCCCCGAGTTGAAGGCACTTGACGAGGATACCGTTTTGGTGCTCGTCGACTTGGCTGCGCAGGTCAAGAAGTCCTTGGGCGGCTCTGCGTTGGCCCAGGTGTACCAGCAGGTGGGCGACTCTGCCCCCAACGTGCACTCGCACGAGCTCTTCAAGAACTTCTTGGAGTCCTTGATCGCATTGCACCGTGATGTAGACGTCTTGGCCTACCACGACCGTTCTGAAGGTGGTTTGTTCACCACCGTCAGCGAGATGTTGTTTGCTGGTCGGTGTGGTGCGGACTTGAGCTTGACGTCTAAGGAAGACGTCTTGACCGAGTTGTTCAACGAAGAGCTTGGAGCAGTGTTCCAGATCCGGTCCGCGGACCTCGAAAAGTTTGTGGGTGTTTTGGGCGCCCACCATGTGGCTGAGTCTTACATTTCCGTGATTGGTAGACCTACCACGGCCCAGGCCTTGTCGATCAAGGTCAACGGTGCACCAGTGTACGAGAACACGCGTGCGGACTTGCAAAAGTTGTGGAGTAACACCTCGTACCACATCCAGAAGATGAGAGACAACCCAGCCACTAGTGCCCAGGAGTACGCATCTATTCTGGATGACGCGGACCCTGGTATTTCGTACCAATTGACCTTCAAGCCCCAGGAAATCACGGTGCCTGTGCTGGAGAAGAAGCCTAAGGTCGCCATCTTGAGAGAACAGGGTGTCAACTCGCAGCAGGAGATGGCTTGGTCTTTCAGTCAAGCCGGCTTCGACGTCTACGACGTGCACATGTCCGACATTTTGACTGGCAGGGTCACTTTGGATGACTTTACGGGAATTGCTGCCTGCGGTGGCTTCTCATATGGTGATGTTTTGGGTGCCGGAGCTGGCTGGGCTAAGTCGGTATTGTTCAACGACATTGCCAGAAACGAGTTCAAGAAGTTTTTCCAGGACAGAGACGACACCTTTGCCTTTGGTGCGTGTAACGGCTGTCAGTTCTTCAGCAGAATCGCCGAGTTGATTCCTGGTACCGAGAACTGGCCCTCATTCGAGAGAAACTTGAGTGAGCAGTACGAGGCCAGATTCGTCATGGTTGAAGTCGAGAGTTCCGACAGCAACAAGTCCATTTTCTTGCAGAATATGAAGGGCTCCAAATTGCCCATCGCCGTGGCTCATGGTGAAGGAAGGGCCAGTTTCAAGGACGATGGTGTGAAGGACGCTTTCTTCAACACGGAGAAGCAGGCTGTCATCAAATACGTCGACAACTACGGCCAGCCCGCTCAAAGCTATCCATTCAACCCCAACGGTTCTCCAGAGGGTGTTGCTGGTATCGCGAACGCCAACGGCAGAGTGTTGGCGATGATGCCCCACCCAGAGAGAGTCACCAGATTGGAATCCAACTCGTGGTACCCTAAGAAGGAGTCTGCTGAGTGGGAGGGCTATGGCCCATGGATTGCGTTATTCAAGTCTGCTCGGCAATGGGTTGGAGACAGATTTTGATGGGATATGCGCGTAGCTTTAGGATTGATTCATACAAAATAACATTTAAATGAGAAACATGGAAAGGGCATTTTGCGGGATTCTTGCATTGATGCTTGGACGTCAGTAGGCTGTAGTGTAGAGGAAAGATCCCGGACTCTAAAAAGGTGCACATGGTGAAGGAATGGATCAGTGCATCAGTGATTTCACGGAGGAAAGGAAGAGTCGATATTATAATGGTCGAATATTCATTTGCAATGTTTTTGCCTTCGTCTGCTTGACTGTGGTTCCAATAAGCCCGTGACATTGGTGAGGATGAGACATGAGGTGACTCCACGCGTCGCCGGAGATTCATGAGCCTGCTTCTGTAGGTGATACTGGTGTCCTCTTTCTTTCTTTTTTTCTCTTTCAAACTTGGTGGCTTTGCTGGAAGCTATGAAAAGCAGGTTGGATGTTTAATCTGAACTATTCGGGCTCGACTATTTGCCAAAGGCCCCTTGTATAGCTTCAACACCGCTCGAGTTGAAGTCCACGGAAAAAGCAGGCGAATGGGCTTTTCTGGGAGATTCTGTTCCTGTTGATTCTCCTGTACACTTCATCGGGTGTGATTCTCCACGGTCTCACTTGAGCAGATCAAACTGGATGACTTCATACGAAATGAAGCGAGCGTCCCAGAAAACCGAAATTTCTTGGGAAATGACTGAGACAGGGATGTTCCTTTACTTCAGCTACAATCCCTCATATAAAACCCCGGTGAATTCTCGTTTCAGAATCTCACAATATATGATGGCATGTGTTCAACTTTTCCACAGTGCCCTGATGTGAAAAGAATTCAAATCGAATAGACATACGGACGCCTGGCGCAGGTCATATTAAACCGGTCCTTCTGGCATTCACCGCGCGTTCTTCAATTATGGCTCCCAAGTTTCTTCTGCAATACAGTTTGCAAGGACAGCCCCAATCTTTCAATACTAAGCAAATAGCATTCCATCAATTTCAAGATTTTTTGCACCCTCAACGGTACCATATTGGTCTTCATCTAAGTTCTCATATCGAGAGTGCTTCGAGTCACATCACAAGGTAGGAATTATTTTTCTAGGCTCAATTTACAGCCATCACTTACAACCATCAAGATCTTCTGGAACATGAAATGATTACGTGGCACTTACCAACAACAGTGGTCTGTTACGTCACCAACCTAAGGTTCAGCGGACTGCTGAAGTAAGTGCATGAAATATCCACAACCAGGAACATATACATCAGAGCAAAGAGAAGAAAGCCTGAGACAGCTGTGCAGTACTCAACTGTCTAAACATAAAAGTGTGCTTCAAAATAACACCTGCTCTTGTATCCAAGTGACAGGGGCCACGGGTAAAATTGGCGCCCACCCTTCCCTCGGCGCTATGGCTGCAAAAAAGAACGCGGGTGACACTAGTCACGTGATCAAGCGATGGGCACACCTCGTTTCTAAAACTAGGTCGTGTGCACTGACAAAAAAAAAACTTCGCGCCCACGTACGAAAAACTTCATTGAAAATTTTTTTCAGCTCTCAGTCCTTTCTTTTCCATCCCCCATTATCTTAAAATGTCTGCCCAACAAATCTTGTCCAAGAAGAGAAAGTTAGTCGCTGACGGTGTGTTCTTCGCCGAGTTGAACGAGTTCTTCACCAGAGAGTTGGCTGAGCAAGGTTACGCCGGTGTTGAGGTCAGAAAGACCCCAACCAAGTTGGAGGTTATTGTCAAGGCCTCTAACACTCAGGGTGTCTTGGGTGAGCAAGGTAGAAGAATCCACGAGTTGACCTCTTTGATTGTCAAGAGATTCAGATTGTCCCCAGAGGGTATCGTCATCTACGCCGAGAGAGTCGAGGAGAGAGCCTTGTCTGCTGCCGTCCAAGCCGAGGCTTTGAAGGCTAAGTTGTTGTCTGGTTTACCAATCAGAAGAGCCGCTTACGGTGTCTTGAGATTTACCATGGCCGCTGGTGCCAAGGGTGTTGAGGTTGTCATCTCCGGTAAGTTGAGAGCTGCCAGAGCCAAGTCCCAGAAGTACGCCGACGGTTTCATGATCCACTCCGGTCAACCAACCAAGGACTTCATTGACTCCGCCATCAGACACGTCTTGATGAGACAAGGTGTCTTGGGTATCAGAGTCAAGATCATGAGAGACCCATCCAAGAACAAGTTCGGTCCTACTTCCTTGCCAGACGCTGTCAAGATCTCCGAGTACAAGGAGGAGGATGAGGTTGTCCCAGCTCCAACTGTCAACGTTTACAGACAAAAGGAGGCCGCTGTCGAGGCTGCCCCAGAGGCTGCTCCAGAGGCTGCTGAGGCCACTGCTTAAATGTGAACCCGTTGTTATCTTTTTCAATCACCACATCAGTTCTTCTTTAAACCCAGTTGTAGACTTTTTGTATTCCAGAGTGCACAACCTTTAATTCGCTTGGCTCAGTTGAGCTCATTAGAACTTGATTACTTATTGACTCGAGTTCCGGAAATAGGGAGTTGCACTCCTGTCTGGCCTTTCCTCTGCTACTTCCGAGGTAAAATGTCTGGACTGGATTTGGCTTACACGTATTTGAGGACAACTAGCAAGCCTGTTCATCAGTCCATGTTCCGAGTGTGCATATGGAGTCAAATCATCTTGAAATTCATTACCTGCCCCAAATCAGCTTTGAAACGATAAAGTGTAGAGCTCTTCGATATTATGTGAGTCTCAAATGTGTTGTGTCGCAAGGTAACAGTGTGAAAAGATTGTTAATTGAGCGCAGCTTGCCCGATTGAAAGTTAGACAAATTTACAACATCTAACGTGTCGCCAGTTCATGGATGAAACTTCTGAAGATCAAGCCATTGAGTGAATCCCGAACTGAAAAAGGGCCGGTTAATGCGGATACATTCAAGGGTTAGAATAAGGGTGTGAAAATCCCATGATACAACGTGTATATCATTGATAATACTGAAAAGTATGAATTGATGCAGTAATTTTGCGAGAATCACTCTTAATCATAGAACTACTAATTTCGCCGAACCGGGCTGCGGACTGGTGCGTCAAATTCACGTGGACGATGAGCGGGGACTGTTATGGAGAAAAAGTCGTCGAGCTCTCAATTTCAAATTTACATAATAGCTGTAAATGTCAAATTCTTGTTTCGTGAACATGCTAAGAATGTAGGAATACTTACTGTACCTAAACCAGTACGGTTTGGCCATGGTTTTAGACATTGCTTGAAGACGAACATGGGAATCTTATACAATTGATACCTACATTTTAATTTTACAAGCACGAGGCCGACTTTTGTCGTCGCCAAAAATTAGGGAGTGAAAGAGTCGAGCGGGATTTGAGCTTTGAAGCGAATTTTGATTGGGGTAAGCAGCAAATAATCCAAACCGCACGCCCCAACCAGAAAGCAGTCAGCACAAAGCTCTTCTCCAAAAGTTAAGATTCAAGACAAAGTGAAATTAATGGTACGATCCAGAATTGTTCAACACAGCCTGCAAATGGAATGTTTCCCTCTTTCCAGTTCCGGTTAACCGAGAGCGAAAGAAGAGCAGCCTGTGTATAGTGTTCCCCGGGTGTGTTCAAGCGGGCCGAGCCGCACTTGTATGTCCGAAACTGAGAGGTCCGAGGCCCGTTTCTGCCGTCACTAGTCACATTGGCCTTACCCCGAACGAGCGTGCAAGTCACAAAGTTTCATTGAGAGCCTGGTGTGTGAATGACTAGAATATGCTTCGCTGGCTTAACTTAGACTTTGCGCTGTCTCGAATTATCTCGAATTATTGAGGACATAAGGCCCGGTGCGGCGGACACGGCCCAGTCGAAAAGGCTCGTGTTTCGACTTTACGGCCTGCATACACGCGCCCCCGCCTTCTTATCTGCTGTGGCATCACGAGGAAAAAATAAGTGGAGCCATGGAACGGTCTGGCATCATGCCCCCAGAAACCAGGCGTCGGGATTTCTGAGCACTTTTCCTAACGCACCTAAGAATATCCTCGCTTCCGGCCAGACTGTGGGCTCTTTAGAAACTCATATTCCTTTTTGTTTTTGTTTGGGTGGTCTGCCAGTTTCACTCTTTTTTTTATTCCTACTGTTTTTCATTCCTACTGTTTGCGTTTCTACCGTTTGGCTTTTTACTGTTTTGCATTTTTGCTCTTTTGCATTTTTGCTCTTTTGCCGTTTTCCAGTTTGTTTTTTTTTGCTTGTCTGGATGTATCTGTAGATAACAGGCATGGGGAATGTAGCAAGCTTTCGACGCGTGTAGAATAATCTCGAGAGTACTTCTCCCCTATTTTCTGCTGGATTGTTCCGAGCCAATCCGCCGGATGCGATTTTATGATAAGCGCGAACGACTCACAGTCTTTCCTCAGTTTGACGTCACATCGCGGGCATCGGGGGCTCGGACTTCGCGGAGATACCCCACTCGGTGTTTTCGGAGTTACAAGTCCTTGGGTAAGTATATAAGGTGAGTAGAATCCCCCATTCCCTCGGACTTTTTTTCCCTCAGCAAAAAGCTTTGAATTCTCACTCCATATCTCGAGACTTCCCACACTACACTCAAATCTATTCAGCAATGTCTTCTTTCACCAACTTCTTGCAATTGTCTACCGACGTCTCCGAGCCATTTGTGATTCCAAATGTGTCTCCCGTCTCCCCCGTGTTGCCCCCTACAGACGCCAGTATCGCTTCGCTCTCTGACAGCCCAGTCAACAGAGAGAGAAAGGTTTCAGTCATTGAGCTCAACTAAGTGACTAGAGAACCAGCACGACACTTGTCTGCTGCTTATGAATAATGGATATCTGGGTACATGGTAAATAGCTTGATTTACGGGAAATAAATATATAAGGTAAAGCGGTTTCTGCCGAAAGTGAGTAGTGTAGTGCCATGAGGGACTAGCTATTGTTTGACTGTTCGAACGCCGGCCATCCGATGGAACTCCATTTCGCGTAACTGGCGTTTGGTGCTTGCCATGGTCCGTGCTTGGATAAAAAGATGAATGTGCTTAGTGATATGGACAGCCCGCAATGAGGGGACCGGTTTCATAAACTTGTAATAGCGCTTCTGCCAACAAGGCTCGAAAACAGCTGAATCCCCAGTCCTTCGAGAATTGGATCTATGGTGGCAATGGCTACGGATAACCTTCATGGCTCAATCAACATGCCTACGTTTGACCTACATTCAGGACGCTCCCGTTGTTTTTCTTACATGTATTCATCGAGCTACTGCCCGAACACCGAAAATATGCATGCTCTAGTCTAGCCAACCTTAGAAGAGATCGTAAAACTCGTTGTACTTCCTGACGTAGTAAGCAGAGGACACCCCTCCCAACCCCAACAACAACAAAGGCACAGGCTTAGCGAATTTGGTGGGCACGGATCTCCCAAGCCCAGCGGCAAACAACGTGATGGAGCAGCCAAGTGCCAACTCCAAGCCCCAGTCGGCGTTGTTCTTCAACAAGTACCCGGAGTATCCGTAGAGTGCAGCAAGGGCGGTGCCCGCGATCAAAGAAGGCTTTGAGCCTCTACGAAGATATCCCATAGTGCCGCCCACGGCACATAAACCGGCAAGTGTAAAGGCAGGATGTTCCATGATAGAGATGAGGGGGGGTGTTCGGGTTACCGAGGACCATGCGTTCAGCAGTGCCGGTGCCGCGCCCATGCCGGTCACGTGACCGGGCGTTCGCCACGCGGGCCTCAGGGCATAGATGAAAACAGGCCGGCCGTGGGGCGCGGAATATTAGTTATGAGCTATCAGTACGCGGAAATGCCCTGCGTTGTCAGGAGCAGCCGCTCACGTGACCCGGCACACGTGTCTGCAGGCCTTATGGCTGTTCTGGCATTTCCACGGGGCTGGGGAAATGAAATGGCAGTCGCTGTGCTGGCTGCGACGTGAGTGTGCGCTGGTTATGTTGTGCACTTTATGTTGTGCACTTTTTATGTTGTGCACTGGTTATGTTGTGCACTGGTTATGTTGTTTACTGGTTTTGTTGTGCGCTGGATTTGTTGTGCGCTGTGTGTTTTTCGTGTTTTTTTTGCCGTGTCTGTTTGTCTTCGGCATTTGTCCTGAGCATGTGTCCGGTTCCATGCTGATTTTCGTCGCTTCTGGTGAGTGCCTGCCATGTATGGGTAATTCCACAAGGTGGGCTTGGCACGACTAATTCAAGTCACCCCCATGGCTGGTCATGGCTTGCGCGGTCCATTCATTTTACTGACAGGGCATCCGATTCTGTGCGCGGCCTTTGGCAAATTCCCGGCTCAATTTTCTCGCCCAGGCACTCTCTCATACTGGTGGTCCGGATGGGCGCCGCTGAACGGAGCCCAGTCACGTGCACGCCGGGCTCCGCACTAAGGCGCTTGCCACACCTACACCAAACTCGCGCGGCCTCCAGACGAATCATTGGGTCGCCCGCCCTGTGCGACATTGTTCGGCCAATCGTAACCCAAACACGAGTCCCCGGCGGGCGCCCGACTTCTCCAACATCCCGTTTTTTTACCCGCCCGCCCAGGCCGTGCCGTTCCTTGCTTCCCCGGGACTCTGTGTTCAAATAGTGCAGCTTCCCCCGTTGTCCCGAAAATGGCCGCTAATCGCCGCCCAGGCCTTTCGCAGCGCGTGCTGTCTTTTCACGCTAACAAATATCTCGTGCCCAGCGAAAGCGCACTCAACGGAGCGCTCGCTCGCTCGACAAAAAGCGAATTGGCTGGGTTTGTTCGGGAAGGAAAGGAACGGGAAGGGGGAAGAAAAAAAAAACCACTCGGCCCAGCAAAAAAAAAAAACCCACCTGCCCAGCACACACGGCACAAGCACGTTTTCTCGTCTCGTCACCCGCCAGCAGCGCCCATCAAAAGCTCCCCGCGTATCCCAGACTCTGTAGAAAAAACACAGCTTTCCCGCCATGAATCTCCTGTCGTTGCTCTCGGAGCCCAGCCCCCAGACACCCGCCCAGTCCAACGGCCACCGGGCCGAACCGCCAGGCACCTCATTGGGCCCCCACACAAACGGCTCGGCGGTATTTTCGGCTGCAAATCCTGCCGATCCGGTGTCAGGCGACCGCCTCGCTGGCGGCCCAATGCCGCTCCACGTGTACGGCAACGGCAGCGGCAGCGGCCATGCCAACGGCCACAAAACCAGCGCCATGCAAGTGCCCGGGGCCCTGAGTTTGGATCTGCCGAAGGCGGCCGGCGAGGCACCGGCATCGGCGGAATCCGCCCCGCTTGACCGGGCATACCTACAACACTTCGAGGCCAACATCAACGCCATCACCAAGCTCGATCACATTCTTACGGAGTCGCTGAAGCTCAGTGTCTTGGCTTCCGAGATGAACGCGTTGGAAAAACGTCTCGCAAGCTCCGACGAGATTGCCGCCAGCTACGTCGATCGCGTGACCACAGAGGAGATTCTCCTTGAGGATACGGGCGCACCCGAAAACCTCTCTCTCGACACTGGCTCCACGCGTGGGCTGCTGGACGAGGCTGTAATCGCCGCCAGAGCACAGTTGCTAGAAGAGTGTGCCTCTGCTCGTGTGGACGCGGATGTAGAGGCTTCGTTGAATGGCAAGTTGGCGTTCACCATGGAGCTGAAGACGTCCGCAAAGAAGACCCAGCGCTCGTTCAAGCGCACTGGCGCAGCTGACGCGAAGGATTCCAAGCGGAGAAAGACCGATGATCCCGACGCAACAGAGGAGTTCGACGCAAACAATTCGCATGTCCAAGACGCCAAGGATCCAGGGAGACTCAGAATCAGACTCTCCTTGAAAGATTGCAATATGGATGCGGCAATGCTGTCTGCAGAGCCGGCATCGTCCTCCGCCACCTCCTCGAAGGATGGTAAAGTGTCACCTTCAAAAACAAGAGAGATGAAGTCTATGATCAAGCTCTATGACAACACGTTCCTCGGGATCTGGAGGGACTTGTCGCGGAAGGACGGCCCGAAAGTATCTCGTTTGATGCAGCAGTCAAATCAAGCAAGATTAATCAACATGAGAAAAACCGCTGTCCTTGCCTCAAGAGAGGCCAAACGTTGGCAAATGAAAAGCAATAAGAATCAGAAGGACTTGACTTCAAAAGCCCGGAGGGCCATGAGAGAAATGTTCAACTTCTGGAAGCGGAACGAGCGTATCGAGCGTGACGCACGCAAGAAGCATGAGAAGGATTTGATAGACAAGGCCAAGAAAGAGGAAGAAGATCGTGAGTCCAGAAGGCAGTCCAGAAAGTTGAATTTCTTGATTACACAAACCGAGTTGTACTCCCACTTCATCAGCAAAAAAATCAAGACTGACGAAATCGAAGGCTCTGATGCCGATCCGCGTTTCAAAGATACGCCCGAGAACCAATTAGACAAGTACCACGGTGTCGAAGGAAAACAAACAGATATTAACTCTCTCGATTTTGATAGTGAGAACGAAGAGGAGTTACACAAAGCCGCTGCCGCTAACGCTCAAAATGCTTTGAACAGTGCAAAATCGCGTGCCGAGACATTTGATGACTCGTTCAGGAATCCGGATACCAATGGCGAGGAAATGAACTTCCAGGACCCAACCATGCTTGGAGACTTGAGCGCTGAACAGCCAAAAATGTTGAAGTGTACTCTAAAAGAGTATCAGATCAAGGGCCTCAACTGGTTGGCCAATTTGTATGAACAGGGTATCAATGGTATTCTCGCCGACGAGATGGGATTGGGTAAGACTGTTCAAAGTATCTCGGTTCTCTCTTACTTGGCGGAGGCCCACAACATCTGGGGCCCTTTCTTAGTGGTCACTCCTGCATCGACCTTGCATAATTGGCAGCAAGAAATTTCCAAGTTTGTTCCTGGTTTTAAGGTGCTACCATACTGGGGAAGTACCAAGGATCGTAAAATTTTGAGAAAATTTTGGGACAGAAAAAGTCTTCGCTATGGGAAGGATGCTCCGTTTCATGTGTTGGTCACATCTTATCAGCTTGTGGTCGCAGACGCTGCGTACTTTCAAAAAATGAAATGGCAGTACATGATCTTAGATGAGGCACAGGCAATCAAATCATCTCAGTCATCCAGATGGAAGTCCTTGCTTAGTTTTTCCTGTCGTAACCGGCTATTGCTCACAGGAACCCCGATTCAAAACTCAATGCAAGAGTTGTGGGCATTGTTGCACTTCATCATGCCATCATTGTTTGACTCCCACGATGAATTCAGTGACTGGTTTTCCAAAGACATTGAAAGTCATGCACAGTCCAACACACAACTCAACGAAGAGCAGCTTAAGCGTTTGCATGTTATATTGAAACCTTTCATGTTGAGGCGTGTGAAGAAAAATGTGCAGAGTGAGTTGGGTGACAAATTAGAAATTGACATCTATTGTGACTTGACCAATAGGCAAAAGAAATACTATCAAATGTTGAAATCCCAAATTTCTCTTGTGGACTTGCTTACAAATTCAGGAAATGATGAAAACAATCAGTCTTTGATGAACTTGGTTATGCAATTCAGGAAGGTTTGTAACCATCCCGATCTATTTGAAAGAGCAGATGTTCACTCTAGTTTTGCTTTCGGAAAATTTGCTGAGACTGGATCTTTTTTGAGAGAGACTGAACTTGAGGTGGCATACACGTTAGAAAATTCCATTGGGTTTGAAATTCCTCGTCGGGTCTACGATGACTTGCTTGTTCCAAGCATGAACAATACTATTGGTACCCGCAACAAAATCATGGAGAAGTTCAGCATTTATAATCCTGAAAATGTTTTGGACGACAACCTCCATAACTTTGGCTGGTTGGAATTCACTGATACATCTCCTTCTGAATTCAAAAAACTATCCACGCAAAACGTCATTGAAAGAGCCATTGATAGGCGAGAGTATACTGATATCAATTACGGACGTCTCAATCGTTTCAAGTATATGTACGGAGACAGTGATGGATTTGTGCCCAAACATTGCCAATTTCTCATTACTGAACTTGAAAACAACTTCTGTCTGGTGACCAATTCTACGCACTTGAAGGAGCTTCACTCCATTCCCTTAAAAAATTACGAGGAAATGTATTTGAATGTGCAACAGCCAGCAGCCAAACCAACTGCTGTGGCTGCTCCTGTTGTTGCAAAGTGCAGTAGTTATTCCTTCACTCAAAACTTAAATTCAGTTTTGTTTGATCAAAAAATCAAGTCGAGTCTTTTGCCGCTCACTTTAAACTTCGAACTTGGCTTCATGGAACAAAAAATGCCTGTTTCGGAATATCCAAAAAGTGATATGCTTCCCACGCCGGTTAACAAACTCATGGATTATTCCAATATCAGAATGCCTTCGATGACAAGGTTCATTACGGAGTCCGGTAAGCTAGCGAGATTAGATAAATTGCTTGACGAACTTAAGCAAAATGATCACCGAGTTTTGGTATACTTTCAAATGACTAAGATGATGGACTTGATGGAAGAATTTCTAACTTTCCGGCAACATAACTACATAAGATTGGACGGCTCTTCGAAATTGGAAGATAGAAGAGACTTGGTCCACGACTGGCAAACGAAGCCGGAGATCTTTGTGTTTTTATTGTCGACGAGAGCAGGAGGCTTAGGTATTAACTTGACGGCCGCAGACACGGTGATTTTCTACGACTCTGATTGGAACCCCACCATTGATTCTCAGGCAATGGACAGAGCGCATAGATTGGGTCAAACAAGACAAGTTACAGTCTACAGACTTTTGACCAAAGGAACGATTGAGGAAAGAATGAGGGATCGTGCCAAGCAGAAAGAACAAGTTCAACAAGTTGTCATGGAAGGCAAAGCCTCGTTTGCTAAGAAGAAGGATGACTCCACAAGTAAGAAGAAAGACGTTGCATATTTGCTTTTGGGAGGTGGCGATGAGGTGCCTGATACGACCAGTACGGGTAGCGTGACACCACGAGATGAGCCCTTAAACAATACCCTCGAAGCCATGTACCATGAGGGTGAACCGGATTTTTCTGGTACCATTACACCCAGTAGTTAGTTCACATCGAAGACCGAAGAATCAATCTAAAAAATAAGTGCTAGATAGGATGTCCACCTTGGGGATGTATTAGAGTGACGTACTATACATATACGACGCTACATAGACCTAGCTGCCAGGCTTGGCGCTAAGAGATTCCTCTAAGTTGCGCAAAAACGTCGTGTTCTTAGTGATGCTGATTTGGTCTTGGTCCTCCTCGACAAAAAGAGGCTCTTTGATCGTTTCGGAAGTAAGGGTTTTGCTTTTAAGATCTAGATTCTCACTCTCCAAATTGTAGATTCTTGCAAAGCTTTCCTCGAGTTTCTTTTCAAGGTCTGCCTTTGACATACCCTGGGTCGCCCCCTCGGCCAAAAGTTCGATTCTTGCATTCTCTTCATCATCTTCATCGGTGGTTATTTGAGTAGAAGCAATGAGATCGGACAATCCAGAGATGTTTGAATTCATTGACGTCCGTGAAAACCGGGCCGTCTGATGACCATTATTCGCCTTTTTCGTTAAAGCGTCCAATGCGGCCTGATTATAGCTCTCACGATTCAATCCACTGAAATTATACATCTTCAGGGTATTTGCTCTCAGTTGAACCCTCGTTTGTTGAGGATCTTCTAATACTGTCAAAAGACCAAGCAGTAGCCCCGATGAAACTCGCTTTGACTGTTTGTCAGCCCTTTCCGGTGAGCCAGTTGTATCCAAAGATACTTGTGAGTCTCTAGGTGACACAATCAGATTGTTTTTTCTTGACTTGGCAGACAGGGTGCGGAACGACTTGAGATTAAAGTTGTGTTCGCTGTGCAAAGAATTGCGCTGGGAGTTGGACCTTGAAGAAGTTACCGATGTTGCGGAATTAAACTTTTCCTGGAAGCCTGACTTGTATTCGCCCATACATGTGCCAAAAATCTCCATGCATGACTCTAAGTCGCCTTGAAACAGGTCAAAAATGGCTAGTCTTTCTTCGTGCTCGTCAGCATTGTTTAGGTTGGCAATCAGTTGGCTATACTTTTTGAAGTATTTGAGGCTGGTCATCACAGTCAGCAATTTGTTGATAAGGTTATTGAGTTCTGCATCAGAGTCAAGTGCAAGCACGTCATCGGCTTTATTATTGTTGTTGAAGTTGTGTGCTAAGACATCATGGTTCGCGTAGTCTGAGGAGCCTGGTAAATTCTCGAGTATCTTGAACTTTTCATTCAAGCCTAGAAGGTGGTCGAGTGTCCCGGTATGATCTTGCAACACCTTATCGAGCCTTGCAGCCCTGCGTGTGGCCGTGCACGACATCTGATCGGAAGCCACGTCAATATTCAAATGATCCGAAAGTGTCAAGAGGAAAAAGTTGTGGGAAGGACAGTCGTGCACAGTTAGGAGCTGGCACACAAAAAAGCGCCGGTGGCTGTTGAACACGCTCAATTTCGCCGTGAGTGCTTCGAGCGTGAGAGGATCATCATGCTCAGATTGCAGGGTATCGTAAATAGCGCTGACTTGAACGCTGTTGATCAGACAGTATTTCTCAAGCAACGCTCCATTTGCCAAGGGAAGGAGTTCGCGAATAGAATATCTCAAGTTGAGGACAAGACTGGTAAGAAGCATGTCCAAGTGTCTATCCGGTGATTCCGAATAAGCCGACGAACCCATATTGGACAGCTGTGCGGGGGCCTTTCTTTGAGATGAAAACAAGCGCAGCTCCTTTAACCTGATGATATGTGCAATAATGGCCTTGTTGACTTTGCAGTTTGAAATCATGAAGTCATCTAGGCTTCGTAGGCTTCGTACGGATTCTATGGTAGCCTGAGCCCGCTTAGACTTGAGAATCCAGGTGGAGGTGATCAAGAGGATCTTGAATAACTTGATGCGAGAGGCCAGCTTCATGCGAGAAGAAGAGAACTTGATTTGCTTCAAGAGAAAGATTATCAAGCTGATCGTGTTAAAAAGGAGCTCCGGGCGCAGTAGGGATGACGGTACGAGTAAGACGTACTTCTTGTTGACGATTTTCAACCGGATGCCGTCGTCACTAAACTTTCGTTTTAAAGATACAGGCACGTGGTGCTCCCCCGAGCTCCTGGCCTGTAATAAGCCTTCGAGCGCCTGCTCATTCTTGGAAAGCACGAGCGAATCGTCCAAAAGATTCGAGAGCACTAGGTTGTACTTGAACTTCTCCACTAGCAGTGCCCTGATTGGGGGGAGACGGAGATACTTGAGGATGAATTTACTGAAGTTTTCGGTACACGGCTTCATGGTAATGAGATTGTCTCTCCTCCCGTGCTGGGAATGACGCAGGCCCGGTGGCTGCTGGAGTTTGAGGTGATTTTGAGAGGCCACGCCCGTGTAGAGGATATCGGAGTTCATGCCGAACGAGTTTGTGCGGTTACAGAGAGTCGGCGACCGCAAATCATACTCTTTGCTTCGGTGCGGCTGGGAGCACTCACTGGTGCTGACGGAGTCAAACCGTTTTCGATGGTGGGACGTCTCCTCAATGCCCCAATCGGCTTCTGCAGGCGGGAAAGGAGGCGGAAATCCCGGCCTGTCAAAGTTCATCACAGCTGCTCGCAAACAAGTATGTAGGGTTCATCAGATGGCCGGATGCCAGCAGCTTAAGTGTGGAATGGTGGGTTCCAATTTGCAACCCAGGGAGTGTACAGACCAGGCGACAGTGGCGGTAAACTTAAAACGCGTATGTTTTTTGTTTTGTCTATTCCGAGTGTGTCAATGGCTTTTTGTGGGTATCTGTGTATGCGTTTGGGGGTGATTTGTGTTGTTTTGGTCTGTGCAATCGGAGTGTTTTGTTTTGACCGAGGGAATTCAATGCCCTGGCCTGCAAATCAAGGGAATTTTTTAGTACAGTCCGATTGGTTTTATTCACACAAATACAAAATACACTGCCGTGAGTTAGTGTTTTACCTGAAGAGTACGGGGTAGTCTGGCTGATACACGGTGGGGACCAGTTTTGTTCACGTCTTCAAGTATGCCTGACTGCACATAGGTGGATCTTTCGCAGGACGTTGGGGTAATCCTGCGGCGCAGCGATGGTGCCGGAAGGCCCGTTCCAACTACAATACATGCCATATGCTCTATTTCTGTTCCAAGAACATGCAGCCGTTCCGTCCCAACAGTAAAATACTTTTGAGCAGGAATCTTCGTGAATATGATTCTGGTAGAATAGGAGCAGTTTTTCGAGTAGAAACAGGCTTGTGCAATAAAAACTGTACTGATCTCACGAACGCAGGCTTGTTTAACATTTATATTTCAACGAAGGGGTGTTCGTTTTTCAATCTTGAGTTTCTCGAATTATGGCCTGTTCAGAATCTGTCTTTGAAGATATTATCCGCATTCCCATGCTTTCGAACCCCGGCTAGCCGTGAGGAAATGGGAAACAGTTTTGTTCAGCAGAACCAGTGTCATCCCAACAAGACCAGTTTTTCCGAAACAGACACCTGCCAGCAGACTGAAGTAGACTGGCGGCCTACAGGCAACCAGAAAACCGAACCACTAGAGAGACATGGTCAACGGCGGCTCGAGATAAAAGTCGCCGGCGGCATTGCTCTCGCCACCGAAAGCGTAGTCTGCGTCCGCCCTGTAATTCTCCGGGTCCCCGTCGAGCTCTTCCAGCGCTGTGAACGTCATGTGCGAGCTTAAGTCATAGCCGAAGCCTTCCTCCATGAAGGCGTCACCGGGCCCCGCAACGCCGTTGATCATGCCAGCATGATCCGCATCTTTTGCGCCAAAGTCCAGCCCCTTGGGCTGCGCGTGTTGTTGTGGGTATGACCTGTTCGGCGCGGTTGGGCCGAAGCCTGGTGCATCCATGGGCGGCTGCGCCGCGAACATAGGGCCGCCGTATATGTTGCTTCCGATCATATCGTCCAAGAAGGCGGCATCACCGGCGCTGCCCATGAGCTCGTTCATGGGGTCCGACTTGGGGTAGAACATGGCGGGCTGCCCATTTGCGTGCTGCTGCTGGAGCTGGGCAATACTTTGCTGCTGGAGGAGCTGCTGCTGCTGCTGCAGGAAGAGCTGTTGCTGCAGGTCAGGCGGCTGGGTGCTTGGCGTGCTCGCCTGCGACGGGTCATGGTGGCCTTTCAGGCTGGACGTCTGATGGTGTTGGTGCTGCTGGTATTGTTGTTGTTGTAGCTGTTGTTGTTGTAGCTGTTGTTGCTGTTGTTGTAGCTGTTGTTGTTGTTGCAACTGTGCGCTGTGAGATGATGCGATCCCAGGCGTCTGCACGATATGGGGCATTGGGCCGCCGCCCGGCGCAAGGTCCCGCGGGAATGGGTCTGCGGCAGCGCGCCCGGTGTCCCAGTGGGGCGTGACCGGCAGAGGCCCACCCGGCTTGGCGTGGAGCGGGGACTTGGACGGGTTGCTGCGCCCGGCGCTACCCTGTGAGTTGCGCAGCACCGACGTACGCGGCACCACCAAAGGCGCCACACCCGGAGCAAGGATGGGCAGCGCCTTGAGCGCCAGCTTGCCCTTAGCCAGTGATTTGCGACTCTTGGGCTTGGGCTTGGGCTTGGGTAGAGGCCGCGGCATGGGCATCGCCGGGCCCGCGCGCTGGGGCGGCGGCGGGAGCACGCCCGGACGCGCCGGGCAGGGACCTTGAATGGGTGCGAGCTGGGGAACGCCCCGGCGGCCAAAGGGTCTGTTGCAGTCGGCGGCGCGGATGTGGGTGCCCACGGGGCGCCGTGGCTCGGCGGCGGCATGGCCAGGCCCTGGTGCATGTTCATCAAGAGGCACCACCAGTCGTAGAAGAACGAGTCTGGCGCGTGCTCCAGCGGGCGCACACGGGCTTCCTTGGCCAAGGCCTGTGCTGTGTGCGTGCACCCGTTTTGGACGAGGTATTCGTGGAGATAGGTGAGGAACGCCTCGCGCGGCGCCCTTTGCTCGTGTTCAGAGTGGTTGTTCATGATGGGGGAGCCAGGCACTCGGGCGTTGGGTGCATCCGTGAGCGCAGTGGATGGCGGTGTGCTGGGTGTGGTGAGGGCGGTGCCAAGCAGGTGATGGTATGTGCTGGGTGGAATGTTCTGAGTGGAGTGTGCTGGGTGGAATGTGCTGGTCTAGTCGGCGGCAGTTTGACGGTGGTTTCGGGCA